TTTTGGCTTGTATAAATACTCGCAAATGAACACTTTTATGTATTTAGCGCTCGTATAGTTTCACTCATATTCATTTTAATTCTCATATTTACATTCACCCATACGCAAATCTGCTTATTAAGTCAAGAAGTATTTGTGTATTTGTGCCCATAGTATACGAAAATATTCTAAGAATTATTTTTAACTCGAACATGAGTTGAATGTGAGCCATTGTTGTGAGGCAGTTGAATTAAGTGGGCGTTTATGTATTGGTTGGGGGTGAATGGCAGCGATGTGCTTTTAAGTGTAGACAATACTGCTGCTTAGGTAATAAAATAAAGCTGCTGGCATGTTGCTCTGTTTGGTAATTGTATTTCTGTGTATACACACATTTATACATGTAAACACCTTTCCCTTTCCCCTGTACAATTGTTTTGTTGATAGCAAGGAGTTTAATTTATGTTTGCATGGGGACAACATTTGCAGATATACTTTAAAGTGGTATCTGCTGTGTACTTAAAGCGTGTATATGTGTTTTTGATTTTTTATGCTTGTACGTATGTACGTAAGCATTTATATTAATTCCAAACGTATCTATAGCCTTTGCGGTGTTGCTTGAACTAAGTATGGCAACGTTCGGTTTAGTAGGTTTACAGGGCAACCACATTTTCTATTTCAAGAACCTACGTGGCATTATTATATTTAAAAATTTCTCTATGACTGTTAAATGAATAAGTTTTAAAATAAAATTAGATATGAAAGAAAATATTAATTAAAATATGTCTTTTTTGAAAATATATTGTGATGCAACTGTAGTGTACTGCTTCCAATTGAATTCCAAACAGAGTCCAAGGATTGCATTTCAAAACCTTAAGAAGTATCTGTGAAGTTCCCAAATTATTTTTAAAAATTTGGCAATAATTCCACATCCAAATTATTAGTTATTCTCAATAACACAGCTAGAATATTTTATATAAGAAACTATCTAGAAGGAATGAAAAAGAAATAATGTTTAGTTGATAAATGAAGTTATTAATAAACCTTGGAAGTTATTTTTTCTCTCTACCTATTTGTTGATCAGAGGCGAGGCGTCGAATGTTTCAGAGTGTTTACTGAACACCTTAACAAAGCTTCCTTATTAGATCTTTTTTTTTATTAGGTAAATAATCTCGCTATTTTGCTACTTAACATATTTTATAATAGCTTTTCCAAACAGATTAACATAAACACAAAACGTACAATACAATCAAAATCACACATACATATGTTAGTTACACCCAAAATTACTCATAATTAATAAAAGAGAAAACACATTCCTCTTCAAATATACTAAGGTCCAGAATAAAAACTGCACCGCGCTGCTTACAAAGCATGCAAATGAAATAACGTTCACATTGGGACTATGTTCAATATTGTATACACAACACTAAACATACAAACAAATATAAAAATAAAAGAGAAAACAAGCCCCGCAAAATGTGTACGTAAAATAATCATAACTCTTAAATTAATGCGTGCAAGCGGTTCAATAAAAAAAGTGAACCTTCAATGTTATGCAAAGTAAATACAAAAGAGAAAAGAAATGACTGAGCGAAAATCGCTTTACATTTGACTAGAGGTTCAGTCGACTAAATTGAACCGCAAGTTCATACAAAGCGTGCAAATACAATCAAAGTCACGGTTGCTGTTTTATATGGGCAAATGGTTCAGTAAAAAAACTGAACCGTGCATAGTAAAAAGAGTAAATGAGTGCATGAGAGTTTCTTACTCTTATGTAGAGGTTGGAAATAAACCAAAAACAAAGTCATTATTGCAATTTTATACTAGAAATGGTAAAAGTAAAGAAAAATAATAAATACATGCATAGTAAGTACAAAGTAAAAGAGTAAATGAGTGCATGAGAGTTTCTTACTCTTATGTAGAGGTTGGAAATAAACCAATAATAAAGTCATTATTGCAATTTTATACTAGAAATGGTAAAAGTAAAGAAAAATATTAAAGAAATTTGAAGTGAAAAATAATGTTTAGAAATGGATAAATGTGTGATTAAAGATTTGTTTCAAATATCTTTTTTCAAACGATTTTCTAAAATAAAGGTTTTATTTCATAAAATGAATAGACCAACTTCAGATACCAAGAATTTGGTACCTAATGTAAAAATGTCGAAATCTGTGGTAAGTCGCCGTTTTCCTACAGCTTTTTACCATAAAAACCAGTGGATCACAGGCTGCGAACATTTAAATAAATTGTTTTGTTGGTCTTGTACGCTATTTGCTTATAGAAAGGACAAAACTCAGGAGTAGGGGGAATACGTTATAGTTGGAATTCTGTTTTGATCAAATTGTGAACACCTTGCCAAAAAGCTGACGCCTCGCTACTGTTGTTGATACTTAATATAATCTATTTGTCTATATTGGGATAATTATTCTTAATTATATTGTAACTTGATCTTTATAAGAACGATGTGTGCGTTAAATGTTGTACAAGATGACGCTTGAGTAACACATATAATACAATGGTGATCTTTAAACTGATATAAAGAATTCTAATTAAGATATAACGAATTTATTGATATATATTACAAATTTTTATTTCTATCGATGTTGATTTTGCACATTATATATATTAATTCTATTCTTAAAAATCTGTAGATTTTAAAATCCAGTTATCTTAGAAAGATAGTATTCCAGAAGTCAGTCAATAAACTGAATTTAAATCTACTATATTCAGAGTAAATAACTTATCAGCATATTTTACCTGTTAAGATACATAAATCGACAAATAAAATAATTTTTATAAAAGTTAATTCACTTAACTTATAGTAAATAATCTCTAGTAGTTTAACTTCAATTAAACCATAAAACCAGTTTAAAGTAAGTAAAAATATTCATGGAATAATTTTTGCATATCTTGAACTTAAAATAAGATTTTATTCATATTTTTATACACTCGCATGTAAATAGATACATTTCGAATGGGGTAGATACGAGTGTGTCAGATATAAAAACAAAACAAATTGGAGCTTTTCAAGAATATTAAAGCAAAAATAAGTAAAGAAAAATACAAAGAAAAAACGATTTGCACGTGTTTATCACCGGAAAGATACATGAAAATATATGTAAAAAGTAATAATGCAGACTTATTCATTTATTCATATATTTACTCGTTTACAGTAAATGTATATAAATATGAATTTATTCAAAGAAATGTACATGCAAGTTATAGCAAATCTGTGTTACACGCTAAAGTAGGTTACAGTAATAGATTGAAGTACAGATAGCTTAGGTATGGGTACTACGAGTATAAATAGTTGGGGTAGTAAAAATAGTTAAATAATTGCAAATTATTACTTTTTATTTCATGAGTTGCTTTGTGAGCTCTCTAGTGTTCAAAAAATATGGAAAAAGGATCAATTGCAAACAAAATCAAAACAAGCATTAAAATAATAAAGATATTTCTTCACTAGGTAGAAGATCTTTATGTCCTTAATGGTGGAATAGCTTAAATGTTACTAACATGTAATAATTTGCGTCTGCAGAGTTAGACTTTGATTAAATTGAAGGTTTCTTAACTAAACATGCTTCTACTGACATAGCACTGACAGACTCGAACGTCTTCAGGTGTACTGTACAAAGTTAAAGCAAGCATTTCCAAAACTAAATTATATTAAACTATATAACTGAGAAGTTATTTGAACCATTTGAATACTGCACACCATGAGGTATAAATTAGTGCTAGAAAATGGCATTAAAGTGCTATTAGTTTAACTTTGAAATTTTACAGCGCTGAAGTTGAAAATTTTAATATTAAATTTGAATTATAGTTAATTTGTTCCTATATCAGATTAAATTAAAAAATTTTTCATATCAACTAAATAAAAGTGTAATATAGTGTAAGATGTAAATATAGTGTTTTCATATAGAAATATTTAAAAAGAGCTAACATCATTGTAGATTCAAAAAATAAAGGACTAAACATATTTTATTTAGTCAAATAATTGTTAATATATTACAACTATGCAATATTGTACACAATTTTTTCATTCCTAATTACGGTAATGCCAAAATCCTACATGCATAAGACAGTCAGACTTGAAATTAATCACTTGTTTCTAAACTAGACATGCTCATTTTAACCTATTAATACCTGTGAAAAATAGAACTAAATAACACCGATATCTGCAGTTACTATGACATATAGTGTGGAACCAATGTCTATCTAATTTGCTTGTGTAAGCGATTGCCAAGCAAATAGTTCAGCAATTTCATTCGATTTTCGTTGAATCAAATTAAGGTTGCAAATTACAGTCAAGAAATGTATGTATTTGAAAAATAACTAAATATTATAAAGACCTTCTTGAGAAATTCGAAGACAGCCACATATATATCAAGAGCAATTCTATATTAAATTACAAAACTACATACTACGCTTTATACACAATTAATTAATAAATAGTGTTGGAAAATGGTACTAAAGAGCTATAAGCTTACTTTTGAGATTCTGTAGTTTTAATACACAATCAATTACGCGACACACGTGTCCTTGCTTATTAATGCTGAAAATTGGATCACATCATAATTAAATTGGTCAATAAATCAGTTATAATTGAACAATTTTCTCTTAAATGGAGATGCTTCTATTAACCAATATTTTTCAGAAATAGAACTGGATGACAGCGACACTTTCAGATTCTGTAAGATATGGATTTTTCTTTTTTCTTTCCTTTAATATCTTTTGAAGCATTGGGTCTCTACAAAATATCTCCATCTCGTACGGTTGTTAATCAACTGCTTGACTACATCCTAAGAATTCTCGGTTATTCCTATTTCTTCCGCTCATCTTAGCTTAAGTTCTGCGATTGTGCGCAAGCAAGTCAGTTGTTCGACTTTCGCCAAATCAGATGAGTTCTGGCATCTAGAACTAAGACACATTGTATAGCAGTAGCATATATTTATGTAGGTTAACTTAAAAGACACTCTCCAATGATAGATCTTATATCAATCAATCAATCAATCCAGTACGTTCCCAGGCGAACATTGGGCCATAGTGGTTACAGTTGTACCTATCGCATTGATTCTGTTTGAACGTGAGTTTCGCACCTCCAAATCCGTTGTGCGTGCTGCCGAAGCAGGTGGATTCGCCGTATCAGTTCGGGTACCACTTGGAGACTGTATTATCATCGGATTTTGACTCATGTTTTTTTTTTACCTAAATCTCAGGTCTAAATATTAAGTTGGGATCAGGCATGTTGGTTCAACCAACATGGTTTTTGTATCTTCTTTATCAAATGAGATAAAAATTTTCTAACAGCATGAATAGGTCAATGTAACTAGTATGTTGTTAGAGCATATTTTTCTAAATATATACAGTTTACATGTCGTTACACACCACTGTTGATTATCTATTATACCAGCTCAAGTTTTTGTCTATAGATGGCTTTGTTACAAATACAGACTTTTTAACAAGTTCTGTTTATTTTAGACTTAATCTTATATTTAAAAGTTATTCAAATGGCAAATTTTTAAACAACTTAACCTTTTTCTAAAAAGTCAAGTTAAATCGCATATTAAAAGTTATCTAGAAATTTTATTTACTAACAATATTTTATCTTCCATTTGCCGAGTTATGTAGGAGGTCATTAAATTTAACGTGTTAATGTGTCTATGCACATTCCCATTTACATACAAGGACAAACTTGAAATTTAATGATAAGTTATTACCTCATTACACATACACACACTCACATGTGCACACCAATTGCCTGCCTGTGCACGAGTGGCACATATTTCCCGACAGGATATATGTATTTGAGAGCATATAGCACATATCACATGAACGAAAATTATTATGCATGTATGCGTAACTGTCAAGAGTTACTTTCATCAATGTTGTCTAGTCGTGGCGTGATGGCCAGGATAATGATGTAAGCACGCTGGAACGGCGGAATTATGGCCTTCAGAATGAACGAAGGTGCGCATTGTGCTCGAGCTGTTAATTTGATATGCAAGAAAACTGCACAGACATGGCAATTTTCCAGTTGCAAATCTTTACAGTAATTTTATGTTTCAGTTGAAAATGGCGACATAAACTCACTTGATGACTTACTTATTCACTGCTATAGACATTGTTAAGAATTCATATGTGTTATACTGTGTCTATAAGTATTTCAAGAGAACTTTTAGTAAGGATTTGGCAACAGTTGGAATCTGTCTCTACGAAGTTCTAGAATAAAAATATGAAAAATAAAAGTTTTTATCAACAAATTTTTTGAAGTCTGCAGATATAAATTAGAATAAAAATTGCAAAAAATGAAAAAATTATATTTAGATT